TTCTACAAAAAGGTGATAAACTGTAACACCCCAGTCCCATTTACTTAGGTACTTAAAGATAATATGTTGTTCAGAAACCATTTAGACAAAAATAGGTTATTGTACGTCTTGACATTGTTTTATCTTTATTAAATGACCTTCAAGATCCATAATTTCATGTGGGTAAGGCTCAGACACTTTGAAGCCAGACCCAAAAAGATTAGCCCAATTTACCCTTGTCTTGTCACTTTATGAGGTATCAATAATCGATAGTGTTTTACATAATAATCTGAATTTAATGTTCGTACTTAAGACATTATTACAATGTTATTGTTAAGGGGACGACAGTTAGGCTTATCCCTTTCCAAATTAGACTTTGAAATAGCTTGGAGAGTTTTAATATTTATGATGACCGTGTCGATATTAACGGCATTCTGATCGCGTTTGTTGAAATTATTTAAATTTTTATCCTTACGTGTGTTTAAACGTGATCCTGGCGAAACACAATGTATTTTTTTAATGTGTCTCATATCGGTGCATTCAAGCGGTTAATGGTACATTGCTTTGGATAATGTTTAGTGTACTTCTGTAACTCCTTTTGTGTTGCATTCTCCATGGACTGCGTTGATCTCATATAAACCCCAATTATTCTTTACTAACTCGGTGTAAAGAATAATTGTTATGTTAGTATCTATCTATTGTGTGTATCGCGGAGAACCTAACGGGTTACCGGGGCTCCGGCTCGACGTGCAGGAGAAGGAACGGGGTGGTTTTTAGTCAGTAAGAGTCTGACACTCCCTCCCGCCTCACCAAGCCGGGAGCAGTAATTCGATGTTTTTCCCCCTTAATCTGTCAAACACCAAGCGGTCACCGGTGACCGCGACCTATTGTTCTTTAATTGTGTCTTTAATTGTGTCTATAAAACCGGTACTCGACGAGTTAAAAAAAAGTATCTATTGTTACATACAATAGATACTTTTTTTGAAGGGGCCAACTATTACTAAAATGCCAAATGTCTTTCATTACTTTAAGATTCCAACAGTGACTTGCTTTTCTAGACTCAGTTGCTTAGCAATGGTGCCGAGAAATTTATTATTTCAAACACAAAGTTATAAATACAATATGCCAAACAAAAAACTGTTCCCAAAAACCATTTGAAAGTAAACAAGAAAGCAGTTCATGGACCTGTTCTCTCAAACAATGACGAATTCTCTTTTAACACTCAATAAAACGAAGAAGGCCAAACATGTTTGTAAAGGGCAAAAACCTCGTGTAAATATTTCCAATAGATTAATCTCTTGTGTCTTTACCACCAAATGTTGTTAGCCAAGCGATTAAAGCTGCGCATTATTCAACACGTCAGACCCCGTAAGGACTACATCCATTACTACAGTCCATTGATCGCGAGTGCGGTTAGGGTTGACAGAAAATTTGTCAGAACTTACAACCACCCTCAATTTCAATTCATTTATTTAGAATATTTTTTTTCGTTTATTTTAAATTAATTGAAATTCAGACAATTAAGTTTTCTTAACCTACCGGGTTACCGGGGCTCCGGCTCAAAACTGGAGTGGGAACCGAGTGGTTTTTTGTCGGTAAAAGAGAGTGTCTGAACTGTTTCTAACCTCACCCAAGGCGGGAGAAATCATTGGATGATTCCCCCCCTCCCCCTCCAAAAAAAGTTTTATCTAAAAGGAATAGATATGGTAGTTTTTGGCATCACCCTCCCGTCTCCTAAACGCACTTGTGTCTAACTGGTCTTGTGATGCGACTAACTATAGACTGCGTTAATCTCATATAGTACCCCATTATTTTTTTAGTCTTTACTAACCCTAAAAATAATTCTAAAGACCGTATCATTGCAATCTTGCAACAAAAACAATTTAAATTCTATTAAATCATTTGAATAGGACAAATGCAGCTATAACAGCACTATTCACATCTCAGCATTCATATCGGACGTAGCTGTGTTCGTTCTCCTTCAGAACTAAATTAGATTTAGATTACATCTGTATGAGAAATGCTGTTGTATTTATAGTACAAAGAAACGTCCTCGTTTTTGTCTTTTTGGTATTTGTTCTAGAATTAGTGGTGTATCTGGCATTTAATTGTGTACTAAGACTCTTGCTTGATTTATAGGCTTTATGTGATGTACTGACGAGACTCTTGTTGTCTACATTTCGTATAATAGTCGGTACTAACTAATTGTATGTCAAGATTTTTAAATCTTGCCAAGTAAATCTGCAACTGCCAATTGCGAATCTACCGCAGGGTGATGTGATTTATGTCGCGGAGAACTTAACAGGTTACCGGGACTCCGGTTCGATATGCAGGAGTGGAACTGTGTGGTTTTTAGTCAGTAAGAGTCTGATACTCCCTCTTGCCTCACTTGGGCGGGAAAAGTCATTGGAATGATTACCCCCCGGAAGTCATTTAGGTTCAGTGTACCGATGTCGATACCTACTTCCTCAACCAACTGTCGGAGTAATTCGTATATTGTGCGAGCGAGCAATGATTTCAATAAAAAACGTAATTTATGAACTCAATATTACATTTAAAAGTAGTATTAAAAGAAGAAACCATCCAAAGAACGCAACAATACACAAATTTCCACTTCTTCACATAAAACATTTTGTCTTTTGCGACATTGTACTGTGTTGGAAGTGTATAGACCCTAACGTTTGAATTGCACATTGACCTGGATGCTACATTTATGGATGTAATGATACACATTGTAATACATGTAAATAACATGTTCGTTCCATTGTTTTATTCCGACAATGATGTACCCACGCGTTTTATTTCTCACTTTTGATTACTTTTCTTGCATTAAACGTGGTTTGTGTTACAAATGGCTCGGATTGAACAAGGGTGAACTGTGTATCTTTTTATGAGACAATTCACTATTAACAATTACAAACAAAGTCAATAAAGTTATATTGACTCTTCGGTTTCGAACTACCTTCTCAATACGAACAGAGATATCAGAAATTATGCCCAATATTTGCCAATTGACTTAATTTCCAATTATTATACCATTACGATTCAGAGCCCTATTTGAATAGGACGCCATTACATATTGGTCGGACGACCAATCACAGCAATGGTACTACAGAAAGACGTCAGAACAAACACTATATAGGGTTGATATGACCAGTTGGCTGCACAAGGAGTTCACGCTCACCATATTGGAAATGGTCCAACTTTGGGACAACGGCCCAAATGGTCCCGTACAGTTCAGTTTCAGAGGAATTTCCTCCCACGGACCCTCCAATTGTGGAATGAACTCCCATGCCGAGGTTTTCTCAGTAGGCTACAACATGGGGTTCATCAAGAAGAGAGTAAACAGGTATTTTAAGTGTCGGCAAGGCGCATGTTGTGCCCCAAGTGCTGCAAGCGTACATAGGCCACGGTAACCACTTACCATCAGGTGGGCCGTGTGCAATTTAAGCCACGATCGTGGTTTAAAAAAAACAACCAAGTTAACACAAATGACCTATATACAACTGTTTACATTTCTTGATTATGACCATTTTTCTCTACGTAATACAGCTCTATAATCGGAAAAAGGTTGTTATGTTTTATTTATTTATTTGATCTGCTACTGTCCCCTTTAAACCACAACAGACATTATACTACGCTATGTAGATATGCCCCTGAACACTCATACAGCTCTAAGAAACGTCCTCATAATTGTTTACTTCTAATTGTTATTTATCTTCTTCGTATAATGAATGAGTCAATTGAAACCGATCCTAACTGATTCGATGCAGATATATTATGGGGCAATGTGTAGTTTAATTAGACTGCCTCGTTGGCCGAGTGGTCGCAAGTGCGACTGCCGGGCAAGTGGCCTCGGGATCGATTCCCGGGTCGGGCAAAGTATTACTGGGTTTTAAAAAAATCTCAATAGTAGCACGAAGTCTGGAACTGTGCCCGGTATATGGCAATAGACTCACCCGCTATTACATGGGACTCATAACATAAATAGTGAAAAGTGGGTGTTATATTGTACAGTGGCATTAAGTGCCGTAATGTGGACTTTTGCCTATCCCTTCGGGGATAAAATGCGTGAAGTTATGTTATGTGTGTGTAGTTTAATTTAAAATCTTCGTTTCTGTGTGTTGGAAGGTTTATTAATCCCAAGTTATTCTATACCAAAGTATTTGTAAGACCATGGAGTTGTTATCTTGTCTTTTATATCCTTATACGAAATGTCGATAATTGGGTGTGTTATAATCACAGTTCTGTCTACCCCTCCACATCCCAGAGTTTGATCGTCATCACCCATTGCTAAAGGCCTCCTTTTAAAGAGGTTTGCATTGCACATATCCTTACACTTAGTAGACGGTTAGAGGATCGCAGTTCAATCAGTAAACAGACGCTCGCGCTGGCAGAAGTTAAAAATAAGAGAGAAAAGTTATTCCAATACTTTATTTTTTCCTAGAAGAGCTTGGGTGAAAATGGTAATCAACAAGCCACATTGTGTTTTTATAATAACTATCGTGAGACATACTAAATCAAGTAACTAAAAATCGCGGGTTACTCACGTGAATATACTGAGAAAATCTCTACTAGTTTCGAACCACAGAGGGGTTCTTCCTCATGAGTAGCGTGCGCGGTCGCGGCGTTGTCGCGCAGCCTACTCTCAACCAGCATCGCCAGTAACCAGCGATTTATTTAAGCCATATTATTTCTAACAAGCTTTTACCCGCGGCTTCGCTTGCGCCACAAAAGCATAAAAGTAGCCTATGTGACATATACCAATACACACAGCGCCATCTATTCCAATTCTTTTGTTTTCCCTCGGGAATATCAAAATTTTCCGGGATAAAAGTACCCTATTATTTATTTCGAACTTCTAACTTTACGCCTGCAAAAATTCAAAGCAATCGGTTAAGAAGTTACGGCGTGAAAGCGGAACAAAGAAACAAACAAACTCACTTTCCCATTTATAATAGTAAGGATACATATCGTATCTACAGTTTTAATTAACACTTTAATGATTGAATTTGTTACAGAGTTCTCCTGATCCATTAACGAGGGAAAGGGGATTATGCATAGAAAGTATGTAAATAAGAGTAATCTTTCATCGATCTTCCAAGTCATTAGCTATCACCATCGACCTTGAATGTTAAGGCTCAAACATTAGGAACACAGTTTCACAGCACTTTACTTTATAACTTTTTGATAAACAAATTACATGCCTGCCTCGTTGCCCGAGTGGTCGTAAGTGCGACTGCCGGGCAAGGGGTCTCGGGTTCGATTCCCTTTGCCCCAAAGTATTATTTTATTTTATTTTTATTTTAAAAGACTTCATGCACATACTAATGTACAAGGGGTGGGCTTGATGCCTAGGGCATTCTCCTCCAGCCATACTATATAGTATTACTGGGTTTTTAAAAAAAATCTCAGTAGTAACACGGAGTCTGGAACTGTGCCCGGTATATGGCTCACCCCCTTTTACATGGGACTCATAACATAAAGTGGGTGTTACATTGTACAGTGGTATAATGTGTACCTCTGCCTACCCCTTCGAGGATAAAAGACGTGATGTTATGTTATGTAAATTACATACGTAGGTACCTACTCACTAAAGTAAATAGTGTTTTAAGGTTTTCTTAAATAACTATTTGGTAAGGTAACTAGACTCTTTTACATCATAATATTTATTTAATTGCCTCGTTTATCAGGTGGTCCTACATCAGGAATTCAGGACTACCTAAGAGTCTTTGGACTTTTAGGTTTTATTCCCGAGTCAGGTATTGGTACTGTTACTGGGGTGTTTCGAAAGTTGACAGTAATGGCACGGAGTTTAGAATTATGTCATAATAAAACTAATAAAAAATGCAGTGATTGCCTGCCCATAAAACTACCTACCACTTTTAGCATCTAATAAATTTTATTGTCGTTAGACTTCAGAGGGCCAAGCACGAATAACTATCGCATTCGTATCGTAACAGTATCTAGCGAGTTGAGCGTTTTGATTGGTTGGTTCACTTGAGCCGGCCAATCAGAGCGCCGAACGCGCTCGATACTATTACGTTACGAATGCGATAGTTATTCGTGCTTGACACTCTGTGCACTATGCCAGCATTAAACGCTTTTCTCTTGTTTTTAAAGTAAAATTAAAAAACTTTTCTCATCTATCTGTGATAGTTAAAAACAAAAGTATTACGCATATGTACGGTGAATACGTATAGTAATATCTAAAAAGGGATAGGCAGAACACAAAACTTCTTACACAAATTTTTCTTAATTTTGATCATCTCTTACTCCATTTTTTTTTTTTTTTTTTTTTTTTTTTTTTTTTTTTTTTTTTTTTTTTAAACGTTGCCCCACACTAGGATTTTCTCCTGTGTTGTGGGTGCGTTTACAAACATACAAATTCACATACACAATGACACCCAGACCCGAAACAACAATTTGTGGATCACACAAAGTGTTGTCCCGTGCGGGAATCGAACCCGCGACACGTTGCACGGCAGCCGGTTACCCAGCCACCGCACCAACCGTGCAGTCAATGGTTTTTTGGTAAAACTCGTGGTATAATCTACTTCAAATTCATCATTCATTTATTTTCATGTTGTGGGTTCGTTACCAACTAAAATATTACGTACACCAGAACAACAATTTGTGGATCATACAGACTTGTTGCATACAAGAATCGACTTTGTGCAGTCAGTCATTAAAGACATTTTGCTTTTTTTACAGACTGTTGTAAGACCCGTCCGTTTGTCGTGGCACTGCAGGATTGTACCAAAAGGGTGACTAAGAAAGCTGCTTATACCGCTGAAACTTGCCACGATGAAATATTAGAACTCATGGAAGCCCTCGACAAATGTACAAAGAATAAGGCCTTTTTAGAATTGCAATAGAACCCTCCATTTGACTGATTATTTGGAATAGTTTTAGAACCTTGGTTCATAGTTCTGCTAGTGATTTTTCTAGATATTTGTTGAATAAAATATATGCGCTATATTTAAGGTTGTTTTGACTTTTATCATCATTACATTTAATTGTGAAGTAATTAATTAAGATACATTTTGGTTCCTGCTATTTTTTTATGGGACAAGCCCGCCACAATATCCCAAAACCGCTGCAACCCCTGTAAGCCAGGATCTCCAGTAGATACCACCATGTATACACCGGGACACTGAAGTCGGGCGCGTCCCAGGGACATGAGTAACTGTGTTGGTATCCGCAACGAAATAATAAATCAGAAGAGGAGAAGCAAAAGCTTTTGGTTCCTGCTACGCTATTCTGAAAATTTTGATTCCAACTTTTGAAGTGAGCTCGATCGCATTCTCGCACGTCATTGGTCGAGATTACTCTTACAACCAATAACATTGCGGCACCACGATGAGCTTCACTTCGATCTTTAGGGTCGTACACAAAACTGCAATGCGACGTCGCATAGCAAACATATGCGAGCTCCCTCTACGCATCGCAAGAACTTGCGAATTGATTCGCATCGCGCATCAAATTCATATCTTCCCAAAATATTCTTTGTTTATTTTTCATATATCTCCTAAGCAGTAACAAAGTGCACATTTCTTCTTACGATCCATATCACGACCTAGTTTTCAATTTCAAATACGTTTAGTACGGTTGACGGTCGTCACCCCGGGATCTCCCAGGCATCTGCCTTGTCGCATGAAATCGCATCGCAGCAATTCGTGTCGTAATTTTCTGCGTTGCGAATTCGCATCGCATCGAATCGCAGTTTTGTGTACGAGCCCAAATTAATTAAAGGTTACAAAACAGCCCAGCAGAGTCAAGAAGTCTTGACATGGTCTCATTTGTGACAAATTCCAAAAAACATTTTTTCTCTAAATACCTATAATATGTGAGATGTGAGATGTGTGTGTGTGTTATATGTGAGATTTGAGAATGTAAAAAATAAGGTCGAATATTAACCACTGTGTTCCATACACAGATTGCACTAAAAACATCATATCAATCGTAACTGCCACAGCAAAAAATAAGTATTATGACTGTCATTTACTTGTCACTTCATATAAAGTACCTACCTACATTTTGCGTACCCGTCGTCTCTCCATCGTTTTAATATGACAGATACAAGGTAAACAGTTTCTAAGAACCCGAGGAATATTAAATTGAAATACAGAGCTCTATTACGTTGTACAAACATAAGAAAATTCATAATATTCGTATTACACATTTCGAGGAGGTTATTGAACTGTTTTCGAGAATTGCCTTGACAAGGCATAGGTGCACATATTAAATGGTTGTTAAATATATAATACTAGCTTTTACCCACGGCTTCGCTCGCGTCACAAAAGGATAAAAAGTAGCCTATGTGACATATACCAATACACACAGCACCATCTATACCAATACATTTGTTTTCTCTCTCGGTCCCTCGGGAATATCACATTTTTCTAGGATAAAAAGTACCCTATTATTTAATCCGGACTTGTAACTTTAGGTCTTTAAAAAATTAAAGCAATCGGTTTAGTAGTTACGGCGTGAAAGCGGAACAAACAAACAAATCACTTTCCGATTTATAATATTAGTAAGGATAAGGATGTAGGTATATAATAGGTTTTTTTTACTTTCGAACTGTAAATGAGCAGCTGAAGCCTTAGTACGAGTTTCTTTTACGTTTAGAGTACGAGTACGAGTACCACGTTCGGCGCTCTAATTGATTGGTTCATTAGAGCCGGCCAATCAGAGTTCCGAACGCATACTCGTACGAATCTGCGATATTGCTATGCTAATACAGTTTTTTTCTATATTTTACTTTAGTCAACCAACGAGCCACAAGATTTTCAGCTTGGACTTCAGTGATACCAGGGCCTCAAGTCTGCTTTAATATCATCATCTTTATCATCAACAGCCTATAAATGCCCACTGCTGAGCAAAGCCTATTCTCACACGGAGAAGGTTTGAGCATAAATCACCATGCTTGCTCAATGCGGGTTGGTGATTCCAAACTTATAATTAGAAATTATAAGCCTAGGTTTCCTTACGATGTTTTCTTTCACCGTTTGTCAGTGGTGTTTGAATAATCTTGGAAAGTACATATAATTAGGAAAAAGTCACATTGGTACTTGCCGTTGGTAGGTTTCGAACCCGCACCCTCATGCATGAGAAGTGGGCGTCTTAAACCTCCGGGCCACCACGACTACTATTGCTTTCTATTGGAGATTTCTCCTTCTCGGGGTTGACCCGGTGAAAATGGGCACCGCGTCCCGCGACCCGCAGGAAAAACGATGCTCATAGCCCCCTTCTAAATTTAGTTTCTAAATCTCCTTCTTCCTCTTCTGCTGACTACTTGGCTAATGACACTGTCTGTGTGTGGTTCTGAATTTTGTGTGGGTGTAGCTTGTATGCCAGTTGTGGATTGCGAGCTTTGTGTGATGTTTGATTGAGTGGTATGTGGTGTGTGTGCTTGAGATGGTTGTAATTGATCGGAATCTGGATTGTTTGTAACGAATACTGTGTCTCCTAATACTTTGCTAAGAATGGTTGTTGTGTGAATGGCGGCTTGCTTCTGAAGAATTGTAATGTCTATTGATGTTTCTAGTTTGTCTGTGTATCTGCTGAGGCTTTTGGCTACTACTCCTGTGGCTCCAATTACTATGGGAATAACATGTGTTTCAGTATTCCAAAGGCGTCTTATCTCTGTCTTTAAAAGGTGGTATTTACTCAACTTCTCTATTTCTTTTGCTCCTATGTTGTAGTCACTTGGTACGGTTATGTCAATGAGGTATGTTGTGTTGGATGTTTTGTTTGTGTATATTATGTCCGGTCTATTGTGGGCAACTGTGATGTCTGTCTGAATTGGGATTTCCCTATTATAAGTCTGCGTTATTATAATTTATTATTTTTTATAATTATTGTCACTACAACACGATCGCATTGTCATTTTGTTGTTGGTATGTATGTTATATTTGTGATCAACAATTTAGGTACCTAACATGTTTACGAATTTAAGTAATAACTTTAACCACATTTAACAATTATAAATTGAAACAAACAGAATCATTAATCAGACACTTTAAGTAAACAAACATTTAAAAAATAATAACTTAATACGGAATAAGGTAAACAAATATTTACTTCAATCTAACCGGTTTTCCAAGCGGTTTGAAAAATGTCTATGAAACTTAATATGGCCGATCTATTTTAATGTTTTCATTGATGGTGACATAATTATTTATAGTCACAATTTTATTATTGTCCTTGTTAACAATTCTATAAATCTATATTACTTTCGCAATAGATCTATTCTTTTTATGACAATGAGTCAATGACACATCGCTATAATGGGATAAGTGTATGAAAGTGATTCTTTTAAAATACTTATTTCTGAAGTTGAAAAATATGACTGCCTCGTTGGCCGAGTGATTGTAAGTAAGACTGCCGGGCAAGAGGTGTCGGTTTCGATTCGGCAAAGTGTTACTGGATTTTAAAAAAATTCTTGGTGTTAGCACGGTCGCACGGAGTCTGGAATTGTACCCGGTATATGGCAATAGGCTCACCCCCTATTACATGGGACATTTAACATAAATAGTGAAAAGTAGGTGTTACATTGTACAGTGGCAATGTGCGCCACTACCAACCCCTTCGGGGATAAAAGGCGTGATGTTATGAAAAATATTGAAGAACAATCTCAGACTCCCTGCTATAACTGACTATTTTTTGAATAAATGGAAGATTCTCAATCACTTTCCTGAACAGCGAATTGAGCTCGAAAGCCCTTAGTATAAAAAAGAAAAAAAAAGAAAAAAGACATCACAAACACTAACAAAAAACGACTGAGAACACCAATCAACAACCTTATTAGTTATGTAAAATTAAATGCGATACCTCGTTACACACATAAACACAAATGTGTTTGTTTCGTCGTGTGAGTGAGGTTACCGGAGGCTCAATTACTCTCCCCCCTCCCCGAATCGCCAACCATCCTCAAATTCCTAATCACTAAAAGGCCGGTAACGCACTTGTAACACCTCTGGTATTCCAGGTGTCTATGAGCGACGCCGATTACCATCAGGTGATCCGTCTGCCCGTTTACTGGCTTATCCCATAAAAAAAAAATTAAAAACATATCAGATCAGGTAGGTACCTACACCCTGTATCTACACCTGCAAACAAACAAACTGACATAACCAGTTTAGTATGGCGGAAGTATAAATACTACGGAAGCTAGCATCGCTTGATCGGTCGCTTACTTCACAAGGAAAAGAAAATGGATGCGAAAATTACGAACGGAAATCTTTGTGTAAACAGGATTCAAGTATTTGTGATGGTAAAAAGGTCGTAAAATTGTCTAGTAAATATCTAATGCTTGCTTCTATTTGAATGTTTCGATGAGGGTCCATTTGCAGATTCCACCATTCCACAAATCTAAAAAAACGAATAGGTAGGCACGACCCCAGGAATCGAAATGTTTTTTTTTAAAGAGATGAGTATTAATACTAAAATATAGGTATCCCTGCTAGGCAGTCGGACTTGTGAACACCGAACCAATGAGGTAGGTCATTCAAAGATCGTTAATACATAGTTTTCACCTAACTCCCCTGAAGTATATCAGGGATTTTTTTAAGGGGGGAAAATCATCGAATGACTGCTCCCGCCTGGGTGAGGCGGAAGGGAGTGTCAGACTCTTACTGACTAAAAACCACCCCGTTCCTTCTCCTGCACGTCGAGCCGGAGCCCCGGTTACCCGTTAGGTTCTCCGCGACAAGTATATCAGGGATAGATTTCAATAATTCAATACTAACTTACAACGAATGTCATAAATCGAATTCAATCTAAATATTACAAATACATTGTGTTGTTTATTTATATCGAAATAATAGTTTATTCTTTGTAATAGAATTTAATCCCACTTTGTAGTCTATAA